ATAAATGGAGTTTTGACTCCTTTGGGCACTGGCTGGGGGCTCAGCTTGTTACTTGGGATTTCCACGCAGTTTAGAGCTGTGGCAAGGCTTCACTACTTCTTCGCCCTTTATGTCAGGATCCCAAGTGGGTCAGACCTTTGATGTGCCTTGACTGTCTCTGTACAGTGAGCTCCCCTGAAAAACACCAGAAGACTTCTGAACTCAAAAAGCTGTGCTTTATTAAATCAAAATACACATGGGAACTAAAAGTGGCTGAGACAGAGGCTTTAGAGTGGCTAAGGTAAGACTGGGGTGAAGGAAAGATTACATGCAGCACTCTCCCTACCCATTACTTACCTACTAGAAGACACTTTCTCTCTGATGTCTGCTTACCTGTTTCCTGCTGCGCTTGGCAGTCTCTGACCCGCTAGTTCAACGCTCCTTGTCATGGCCAATTTTCTGCCACAATTTCCAGCTTTTGACTGCTTCTCTCTTGAGTTAATGTGTGACAGGAGCAAACCTCCCTGAGGACAAGCAAGTACAATGAATTCTGCCTATCACGCTCCACTGTGCTCCTGTGTGAAAGGAAGGAGGCAGAGGGACAGCTCTTAGGGTGGGAGGCTGAAATCCGAAGTACCACCCTTCAGTTCCTCTCTAAAATGAAGGGCGGTAGCCTGTGTAGTCAGTGCTGTTCTCTCTGGCTTAGGTCAGATGGTTTGTTATTGTCCAAGTGCTCACTTAAAGTACAAGCTTAAGGTCTTGTTTCTATGAAATGACAAAGCGGGCTGGTTGCACGGACATGTAGCACCTTCCAAGTCTGCATGTGTAGGACCCAACAAAAGCGGTAACGTGAGCTTTTCGTCACAGCCCCAGCGATGCCGAAGGTGGGCAGATAAGTCAGCTATGCCTTGGTCATTTTTAGGTTGACAGAACATGAGGAAGGCTCTTGCAAAATGACAGCTGCATCATTGCAGACATATAGTCATGGAAAAATGAATACTTTTAAATGGCAGGTGGATTGGGGAGGCTTTTTTACACCAGCCAGTGCTGAATCCCTGTGAACATCCGCCTAGTGTTGGATTTTGTGTGCACATGTGCTCTTGTAATTTTATCTAGATTTTTTTGTGTTGGATTTTTAAAAAAAATTCTCTGGTTTCAGTGTCCAGAGGAAGGTGTAGGGATCTGTTGTGCATTTCAAAAGTCATATTCCTCTTTCACCTGCAGATTCGAACACGAGCCATCTCTGCCAAAGTGATGACTTTGGTGAGCCCGCTGCAGCTGCTTCTCTTTGCCTCCAAGAAAGTCCTGTCGGATGGGGAGCTCATTCTGGTAGATGACTGGTACGGATCTCCTCGGTCCTCATAATCTTGAGGTCTGTGAAAGAGCCCAGGCTGAGGGCAAGCGGCTACTAGCACAGATGTAAATCTCTATAGAACAGGGACCCTAGAGCAAGCCCTGCGCCACAGGTTAATGGTGAGGGCTTTGTTTCCTCTGAGGAAGGGAGGGCTTTATCTTGGCAGCACTGTTTTGTGCAATTATCTGCTTAAACTGAAAACATGATACCAGGCAGTTTCCCAAACAACTGCTGGGTTTTTTTCCCCTTTAACTGAAATGTGAACAAGAGGTACTAGGTATTTTGAACTTCCTCTTCAGGCAGAGGCTGAGGAAACCTTATTTTTAAGTCTCAGAAACAGCTTGAGGAGAGAGGCTAAGGACCTCTGGCAGCATACGTTTTGTGGCGATAACCAAATACCATTTTTTTTTTTTTTTTTTTTCTTCCCCTCCTTCCTCTCTCTGGTCAGTAAAATGGAGGTGAAGAATTGCTTAAGCTTAATTCACTAATATTTTTGAGGGTAGCCTGGAGTTTTCAAAATCTTGAGGAGCCTCATGTTTCTAGTTTACTTTGGGTTTGTATGGTTCTGTTTTGATGCTAGGAGTTGTGTTTCGGTGTTACCTGAGTATGTTTAAATCTCCAGAGCAGATTTAAAGAGAAGGATAGTTATGTTTTAACCATGTCAGACTTTAGGGATCTTGCAAATTTTCCTCCTGAATTTCACATCCCTTTGTTGACAAATTAAAACTTCAGAGATGAGAATATAGATTTCTGGCTTGGTATGTGCAATGCTCAATGAAAAACCTCTCTAGAGATCATCTTTTGTAACAGGTTCTCTCTAGAAGTCATGATACATCTAATATATTTCTCTCTGCTGTAGGATCAAGCTGAAGATGCCCCACAATGTGGCTGCCTGCATCACTGCTCTGCGTGCAGCGGTGGAGGCTCTTGTTGTGGAAGTGTCTAAAGATCCTGAGCTCATTCGGCAGCTGGACCCACCCAATGAGCGAATGCTGAACATCATCCGTCAGCTCTCCAGGCCCTCAGCTGCGGGCATCAGCCTCGTGGCCACCAGTGCCAGGTTAGCTCGGCTCCGTGGCCCGGTGCCTTGGGGCTCACCTCCCTGTCAGCTCCACTGCTCCCGCCCTGCATGGTGGCTGTAGGATCCCAGAGCTAAAATCACCAGGAGAGGCTTCAGGCTTTGGATACAAAATCAGTAGTCCTAGCATATGTAAAATGGTCATGTTCAAAGTCTGCTGTAGACAGGGCACTGCCTGTTTCCACAGGAAGGGCAAGTGGTTCTCAGGAGTAAAAGCTGTCATTGCCTCTTCCAAATGACTTTTAAGAAAAGATGATCCAAATTTATTTGGGGCAAACCTGTTGACCTCTGTCTCTGGAAACAAAGCAAATATTTGGCTGTGCTTGCACCCCCTCTCTTGCCCCTTGCTTTCATGTCTTGCTTCTGAAGCAAAGAAAAATGAGAACATTTGTGAGCTATTGTTAATTTAAAGATCAAAACAAAGAACAGCTTCGGTGTATGCTTCACTGTGTTTTGTGAGGAGCAAAATAAAAGATCAGTGTGCTTACATACACAGGAACAGGGTTCGGTCTGTGTGTGAGCAAGGAGAAAACTTACTTTCCCAGGTGTAGACCTGGCTGAGATTTACAGAATCACAGAATCATCAAGGTCAGAAAAGACCTTGAAGATCATCCAGTCCAACCCTTAACCTCACACTGACAGTTCCCAACTCCACCAGATCCCTCAGTGCTGGGTCAGCCCAACTATTCAACCCCTCCAGGGATGGGGACTCCCCCACTGCCCTGGGCAGCCCATTCCAACGCCCAACAACCCCTTCCGGAAAGAAATGCTTCCTAAAAGCCAGTCTGACCCTGCCCTGGCGCAGCTTGAGGCCATTCCCTCTTGTCCTGACGCTTGTTCCTTGGTTCAAGAGACTCATCACCAGATTTTTACAACCTTCTCTCAGGTGGTTGTAGAGGATAATGAGGTCTCCCCTCAGCCTTCTCTTCTCTAGAGGAAGGACTGCTGGCTGCTGATGTGGCACATCAGGCCATTCCCAGCTTTTCTTTACCGAAAAGTGCAAAAAAAAAAAAGTGGAAAACGTGCAAAAGTGCAACTGTAATTCAAACATATTCTATTAACAGAAAATAGAGGCAGCATAACTGAATATCGTGACAATTGATTATTCCTCTTAATGTTTAAAAATGTTTCTCTCTGCCAGGTTCAGCGATGGCCCTCGTCCCCCCAAAATGACTCGCTACGACAATGGAGGTGGCTTCAGAGGCTTGGGAGGTTTCCCACACGCCTCTGGCTACAGGGGTAGAGGTTATGGCGGCTACAGCTACTCTGGCAGGCGCTCGGGAGCAAGGGGAGCCCAGGGGAGCCCAAGGGGAGGCTGCCACCGAGGAGGGGGAGGAGGGTATCGAGGAGCAGGTGCCTACAGAGGAGGCTGTGGGCAGCTGGGATGGGGCAGGTGGTAGTTCCAGAAGTTCAGTGACATCTTTCCACTTTGATAAAAGCCCATTTCTCTCCTGAATCCCCCTCTTACCTCTTACCAGTCTGTTTCCCATTGCAGTTCATTAGTGCAAGTACAGCTCTGTAATATATTGTGCCCTTAGGGAGTTTACTGCAGGTTGTATGATTTCATTCTTAATAAACAGCTTGTTTTTAAAGACTTATGTGCTATACATTTAATTTTTGTATTTGGATTTAGAGTTTGAAGCAGTTTGTTGTTAGTTTTGGTTATAGGAGGTTTAAGGTTTTCTGAGGCAACCTTTTAATTGTTTAAAACCATTCCCTGCCGAAGAAATTTCAAATTACAGAACTTAGGCTCAGTGGGGATTTTTTTTTGTTGCCCAATAAACTGCAAACAGGCCTTGCTGCTGTGGTTTTCTCTCTGTGCCAGGCAGCACTTTGTGCCTCCATGCCTCTGTGTTACACTTGATGGCACAGCAGATGAGCTCTTCTGCCACTCCGGACAATGTGGGAACACACAAATACCTTTCTCAAGACTGATGTGATGCTACATGTCTCTGCAGAACTTGAGTGATTGCAGGAGCATGAGCTGTGCCCTTCCTCTCAGGCACTGTCTGGTTACATTGCTGCTCTACAATGGTCACAGAAATCATCTCGGTTGGAAGAGACCTCAAAGATCATCCAGTCCAACCCTTAACCTCACATTGACTGCTCTCAACTCCACCAGATTCCTCAGCGATGGGTCAACCTGACTCTTCAACCCCTCCAGGGATCGGGACTCCCCCCTGCCCTGGGCAGCCCATTCCAAAGCCCAACAACCCCTTCTGCAAAGAAATGCTTCCTAATAGCCAGTCTAACCCTGCCCTGGCGCAGCTTGAGGCCATTCTGTTTTGTCCTTTCACTTGTTCCTTGTTCAAGAGACTCAGCCCCAGCTCTCTGCACCCTCCTCTCAGGGAGTCATGCCTTCTCCTTCCACATAGATGTGAAAGCAGTTCTCTCCTGAGGGGATTGCTGCAGCCTGTGGAGTACAGCCGGTCAGAGCTCTGCTGGCTGCCTGCTGTTGCAGAGCTGTGTTGACACAGTGGGGACAAAAGGCTCTCCGGGCAGGGTTGGTTCCTCCGCAGTGCCTGGGCCGTGGCAGGTGACACAGGGTACCCGCAGACACGTGTCACTCAGGGTTTCTGCAGTCAGGCTCTACACCTGCATGTGTATGAAGCGGTTGGGCTCCCTTCTCACTTCTAGTGCATGGGCTCGGACCTGGCTGCGCCGGCCCGGGGCAGTGGCAGGAGGTGTTGCCTCTGGTGCACGCAGTGAGGAAGGTGTCTGCAGACACAGCTTGGGACAAACCCTGTTACACAGCTGGGTCAGAGGGCATTAACCTTCCCACTTCCCCACTAATCCACCTGGAACACTTAGAACCAATAATTAGCTGTGCTTACGGCAGGGTGGGAGATGTTGGTGTTTGAAGTTTAAAGCAAGTCCAACATTTTTGTCTTTCTAATGAAGAATTCTTAAAAACTAGGTAGGGGTGAAGCACTGTTTCTTTAATCAAAACTGCTAACAGCCAAATGCCACATGAAGCTTAGATATCCACCTCCGAATTACAGAGTATCTGATATTATCAAATGTATCAGTATTCATCTCCAGGCTTAAATCCAGGATTAATTTGAAGCATGTAACACCTGCATGGTCTGATGCAGTAAACACAGTCCTTCCTGCTGATGGAGACTTTTCTGTAGATTGGAGAATGGTCATTCTGTGCCATCAGTACTGAAAATTGGATTATTTTTCTTTTCCAGTTTGGGTTCAGGAACAGCCTGTTAGGGAATCAAAAGGGATGGCCATTAAAAGATGAGCTGTAGTGTTAGCCACCTTCCCTTCCACATCTTCATTTATTGCATCTAGACAAAACTGGCTTTCCCCTCAAACATTGTGTTATGTCAGGTGTGTTACTAACACAAAACTGGAAAGGTGAAGCAGATGTACAATGGTTTTAAAGAGAACTCTACTTAATAATTTCAGTATTAAGACTACAAGTCTTAAGCATGATCTAATAGCTATTAAAGCTTTCTAATTTCCTCTAGCTGTTACTGATCATCAAAATAAGTCCGCGTTTAAACAAGAGACAGGAGGGATGGATGCAAGGTGAGCACACATCAGAATTTAAGAGAGGACTCTACAGCAGTGAGCTGCCCAGCACTGCTACAGTCTGTACATGTGCAGAAACAGAACTGAGTATCCTGTAAAAAATTCAGATGAACTCCAGTGAGGTGGCCTCCCTTTGAGAGCAGCTTCGTTTGCATTTCCATGACTAAGTCCTGCTATTTCTGTTAAGGTTCTGTTCTGATCAGGCTTTGATGTCTAGTGGGGCCCTTTGCCTCAGTCTGCTTTTAACTACAGAATTACCATCAGCTTCTCCCTGCTTCTCCTGTTGTAATTGTTAGGAGGTGGAATAGGATACCAGGGGGTATCAAATGTGTGTACAATATTCCATGATACTGTCTAAAAATGGTTTTACTGGGGGGTACTTAAGTCCTAGCTAAAGAAATACCCTTTTTAGAGTAAAGTTGATGTTTCTCAGGTTTATTTACAAAAATTATTCTAATTTGTATTGTAAAGCTATTATTTACTATTACTGGAAAAAGACCATCAAATGTTACCTTAACATTAATGGCACCCTGGCTGTGATGTGAGGTCTTGCTGGTTCTGGTACTATTGCAGTGACAGATTTTGTAACTCTCCGAGATGGCTGCGCTCCTTGTGTGCAGCTGAATACCAGTACCCTGTCCATTAACAAAAAGGTTCTATCTAATTTCATGTTGCTTGTAAGAATTGTTAGAAAATTTAATGGCCACTGAAGGGTACAGCCGGGTGTAATAAGGTATGAAATTGTGTAGGTCACACACCTGTGTCGGGAGTTGCTGCTGGGATGGAGTCACAAGGATACCCACTGCTGAGGACAGGCTGTGGAGTGGAAGGTGCCGTGGACTATTTAGCATCTACAAATTACAGCTTAGTTGGTTTTATTGATATGCTGGTGTTTTCCATATTAAAGAGCATGAAAATGCTGCTTAACAATGCTTAGTCTGGTTTTTAATATCTACTCCATCAGGACCAGTTAAGTTGGAAAGCAATAATCCTTGCCTCCACTTCCAGTGCCAGAGATGAGTAGCACAGTCTAAATAAGGACTGATGTGAAAATGAAGAGTTTAAACAGCCTGGGTACAGAAAACTGAAAATTGAGCTGAAACAACACGTACATTTTCACAGTAAAAACACAGCTTGCGCTGAGTTTACTGTGTCAGTAAATTGATCTGTGCTTTGTTTCAAACAGTCAGCTTGTCAGAGCGCTCCTGTCTCTTGTACAACAAGTTTAATTGTCTGAAATTCTAGAAGGACAGACTACCTGAGCTCCAGTAATCTCGTTCTCTGTGGCGGTCAGAGAAGCCCCAGTGACAGTAGGAGCCAGATTCAGCAGCCACGACACCACCAACTGTTCTCTGCTGTACCCACCTAAGGTATGTTGGGGTTGTCCCTTGGGTTTTTGATAGCTCAAAGCTCTCATGAGGTGGTTCTGAAACAATCACAGGTTCTGGTTTTCTGGTGCCAAGTGGAAAAGGAGAAAAGTAATATTGACGACAGTGTCAAAACCCTAATATGAAGGGTAACACTTGTCAGCTGGTTACTTGAATTTTTTTTATCTTGCTTGTTTTAAAACCTCTCACATAAATATCAACAATGCTACCAACAACTTACAAAGTAGCCATTAAACATACTTTTTAGCCTCCATTTCAGCTCCCCATGCTTGTCTGCCTGGTTGCATGCACCATGCTGCATTAAACAAAGCACAAATGCTGTTCATGCAAACTGATGGGCTGGTTTCAGAAGCCTGGTGAGCAGAACATAAACCACAAAGGCACAGACTGTGTATCTCTGCATAACAGAGATGGGAAAACCAGCATGTTCCCTTTTGTCTTTGAGGTGATATTTAGTCAGTCACAGAGGATGATTGAGAGGCTGCTCTTTTACTGCTCTGTTAGAGTAAAGATGCAGAAGATTCATTTCCTCTACACAGTGGTACTTGGGCAGCTCGACATACAAGAACTGAAAAACATCTCTAGCTGTAGGGAGATTTCTACCAATGGACAGAAATTCAATAGAACTACACTATGATCTTCACTTGGAGAAAGTTTAAAGGAGAACTAAGCAGTCAGTTGTGGTGTCAGCATGAATGTATTCTGCTGATCTCAAGACCACCATCTCCAAGGAGGACGAGTCCTTCTCTTGAAAGGAAATCTTTGCTCTTAAGCAGTTTCTTTATAGGAAGATTCTTTCTATGGAGTGACTTAGAAACATTTGTTCTTGATCTGTAGAGAATGTGTTAAAAGTGTGCCTGTACTGAAAAGTGATCAAATAGCATTGCAGTTACTTCATCAATCTCTTTTCCTGCCTCCAAATCAAAAATCGAGTGAGGAATGCCAGCCGGAGGAAAGGTGATGTCATAGATACAACTTTGTAAGGTGAGTGGCTTAGCATGCAAGATAGTGATGTCTCTGAAAAAGAGATGCAATAGGAGTTTAAAAATGGAAAAAAAAAAAGATTAAGAGATGAAGGCTTCTAATCAGAAGCTCACCCAGAGCTTTGACGGGAGGAAGACCTGAAGATGGCTGCCTAAAAGCCCTTTCTGGGCTCACACATTGTCTGTCAGGAGCGCGTGGCCGTGCTTCACCAGCACACATGAGCTCTCAGACTCACTAATATTTTCTGTCGCCTCGTTCCACATCTCCCTCGTTGCCTGCTCCTTTGCCTCCTGCTGTTTTTTTCCCAACACCATTAAGAGGTCTGAAACCTGTTTGGTATTTCCTTGTTTTCAGTGGTAACAGAAAGCTGCATTAAAGCCTCCTTAAAATAAGCAGCTGCCAAATAAAAAATTCCTCACCAGTAGCTTTGCATGAGGCACTGGTTTTTCAAAGCCAGCCCTGTGCAGGCTGGGTCTAGAAGGAGGAGGGGGATGTCGTTTAAAGAGCAAAGAGATGCTGCCTTAGTGTTGGTGAAGCACACGTATTTTCCGTGTGCCCATGTCTGGGCAGAAAAGGGGGTGTTAAAAGGCCAAGGTGCAAGAAATAGCTTTGGTTTATCTGTATTTGTGCTGGGAGCTTTTCTTTACCAGTTATCATGAGGTGCCATGTGGCAGAAGGGCTTTCGTAGGGTGAATTTTGGGGCCGTTGTCCCCTGGGGGTAATGCACACTGAAACAGCACACCAGAGCTGATGGGCAGGTGAAGGAGCATGTCGGCATTGTTTTCAGGATACTAAAAAGCATTAAAAAATTAGGTAATCTCAGAATCTGATGACTTATTTTGCTAGAAGTGAGGCTGTTTGACAGTGCAGGCATCAACCCGAACAAGGAAACACACACAAGTGAGTGCAGGCGTTTAGATAGCCAGTGCTTGCAGGATGTGATTTGCCGAAGCATGGCCAGAACATTTGTGGGTGCTGATTTCTTCATAAAGCTGTCACCTGATGTGAGTGGTAAATACAGGGTTGATGTTGATGTTCATATAAAAAAACCCAAACAAACCAACCCAAACAAATCAAATCACACCTTTCAAGAGCCATCAGGGAAGGGAACCTGTCTACTTTAGAGGTATTATTACTGCTTAACATTATGCTTTAAAACACGTAAGTTTTTTATATATATATGCTTTATCAAACTGATTTTTCACTGTATTCCTGCTATACAGTATGCCAGTTGCACATTATTTTTTCTCTGCGTCATAGCTAACAAGTTATACTGTTGTTTATTTTCACACTGAAAGTTTTTAATCCTGTTGAAAGCTCTGGTAAACATACTTTCCCCTACCATTTGCTACCATTAGTCAGGACTGCTTTTGAGCTATGGTTTGTGAAGACAGAGGTGAATTATAAGAGAACACAACACTAAGATCCAATAACAGTGTCTTTAGTTAACAAGGGTAAGTTTACAGCCTCATATTCTTCTGAGAAAAAGACCACGTGATCTTCACTGTAACAACTTTCTAAAGCCACGTTCAAATTACCATGTTGCTGAGATGGAGTGTCCATAGAAAAATCTTTCATCCGTGCAGGAAAAAGTGAGCATCGCTTCCTACATTTGAGCAAACTGAAAACAAAGCAAAAGTTTCAAATGTAAGCGCAATTTAAGAGTCTTCGGCCCTGTTCTCCTTCCTGCAGTGAGTTGCTTTTGCAAAGGTCTTTATAGATACCAGGGCTGTGGTTTGGAATTCCAAGTTTTCCTCCCACGCTGCTGTCTGCAAAGAGACATTAAGAAAGACTATACTGGAAAATACATGAAGAGCTGCTTTTTTTTTTTTTTTTTTTTTACTAGCTACTGTTTTCGTGCTCATATAAGCTCCTCACCTGGTGTCTGGTGTATAAATCCCCACTGTTCCTCTTACCTTCCACTAAAGGGATTAGTTGCTCAGTGTGGCCTACTGGTTGTTTGGTTTTTTTTTTGAGGGGGAAAGGGGTGTAAGAGTTATCTCAACTGCATCAGTGCACTTTCCAAGGAAAGAAATTGCAAGAAAAAGGAAATTCTCAATGGTAGTGAGCAGAAAGGATAATAATATATTTGGTCACATAGCTCAGTGCCATCTGCCAATAATAGTGTAACAATGGCCCAAAATTCTCACCTATGGATTGAGAACAAAAGTTGCAAGTCCAATCCTGAAAAGTTATGTAGTAGATGTTATCTAGGAGTTTAGGAAGGCTTCCAAGGAAGAAGAAAATATACTTCAAGTGTTGAGGGTTTTTCTGATTGCATCACCTATTGTAAAGCATCTTAAAAGGTAATTCCTCTTTCTACTGATGGCCTGTTTTCACCCTGCACTATGGATGATCCCAGTGCAATAGCCACTTCAGTTGCTTATTCCTTTTGTGCTCAGCTGCTCAGATCACCTGCTTGCCACATCCAAATCCTCAAAATAGACTTGAGCTTCATGAAATGTCACAGCTCTGGGCTTTGACTTAGAGCTGAAGTCTCAACACAGCACTTTGTGTAGCTGCCTTTATAATGTTTGTTGGACAAACTAGTACAGATAGGGCCAGAACTACTTCAATGTTTACGTATCACATAACCTAGAGCACCATTTAATTGTGGATTTATTGTAGTTTTAATTAGTTTTAATTCTATGCTTTGTGCATAGGAACTCTGCTTCATTCCATGCACTGATAAGTGACATTCCTGAAGATGTTTTCTACATCTGTATTCTACTTGTCCTCCACTTTTCACCCCTCCACTCTGCAGGCCTGATCAATTCTGGAATTTGGTGGCATGAAAGAATTTGAGAATCTGGGATGATACATACACTGCATGGTGGGAACTGTATAAGCATGGCCTGCCGGATGCTCTCAGATCAGAAAGCTTCTATGAGAAACTCCCAGTGATGTCATATTTTCCAAGGCACCCTTATAAACTTAAGTTTCTTTAAAATCTTCGAGTGACTCAGAAATCTGGCACTGTTCAAAGTATGAGCTTTGCTGGTATGATATGAGCATCCATAGTGGGAGGAAGGGCAGACTTTGATGTTAGGAGTTCTCCCAGTCCAAGTGAAGATGAATTTCAGAAGCCAAGGTGGAAGAAAGAATCCATAAATACCAGTTGCTTATCAGAGCTCAAAAGTCTCAGGACAACCAAAGACAATGGATATAAAAGTTAGGATTAAAACACAGTACACTAACTAATACAAGGACACGTTATGGTAAACCCCCCTAAAATCTTTATTATTCCATTACAAATAGAATATTTGTCCAATATATTTTGGTCCCACTACCCCTCTTAAAACATAAAATATTTTTGATTGTGAGTACTTCTGGTACATAATCACTCAAGCCATAATTAAGGAATTTATACATGCATTTACATGAGAAAAGATATTTTCCTCCCTGACACTGCCAGATTTCCCATGTAATTCCGGACAGGAGATTTAATCCAGTTTCATGTTAATTGTAGATTCTTTATATTTTGTATGCAATGTGCAAAGCGTCTGCACGTTAGCCTGTGGATATGCGGGCAATGAAAACTGCAATTTCAAAGTACTCACAAATTGCTAAATAACCTGGAAAACAAGACCCAGACTATTCAGCCAAAACAACTTTTTTTCCCCTCTGAACAATTTTTGCCTTAATCCTTACCTCTAAATCGGTGACAGAAGCTCCCTGCTCAATAGAAGTGGTGGAATAATACATTCATTAGTTTTCATACTGAACCAACATACTTTTACCTGAAGACTATTAAGAGATCATGCTGGCAATGTTAAATATAGGTAGTATTGCATTGAATGTACCATTTATTTATAGCAAAATGGATTAAATGAGGATGGTAATAAATCAGCTGTGCATTCAGTGGGTACCACTCAGGCTGTGTGATAAAAAAAGCAGACATAAAAAGCCGTTCTTTGATGGGCCCCAGAACTGCTGAAACATGGTCTGCTATGGAACTGACTTCAAAGTATGCAAGTTCACGGCATGTAGCTGTCTGCCCATCTGTGCCATTCAAACTCATGGACGACTACCTGTGCAGCTTAGCCCTTGAGCCAGTTTTACCAAGTCTGACATGAGATTCAGTCCCACCTGCAGGAAAGTGGGGGGCAGGCAATCCCAGGAGCTGCTGCTGCCTCAGGAGGAGGCTCAAAAGTAGCATGTGGCAGTGCCTGACCACTGCAACGTGTGAGGGCAGCTGCACAGGTGCCCATTTTTAGTTTCTCAATTATTTTAAAACCTGAACCTCATTTAAGGTAGCCTATTTAGACAGCAAATCTACACACGCGCTCTCTTGAGATGCAGTATAGTCCTGCAGCTGCTAATTCATTAGCACAGAGCAGTTCCTCACCAAACCTTGACTGAGACAGCACTGCTAGAGATTTAAATTTTACCTACTTAGTAGCCCTATAGGAAAGGGGCAACATCAGGTGTTTTACTTCTTTGTAATAATACAAATGTTATAAACATCAGGCACAAAATTTACAATTTTAAAAAAATTTACAACCATGGCACTTATTAACAAAAAGTAATTTTTAAAAGATAACAAGCAACAAACGTACTTTGGAGTAGTTCTTATAATTTTCTTTTTTTTTTTTCTTTCCCTAAATTTTCAGGTAGCTAATGACCTAGAAGTGTTCCTGGAGATGTATTTTCAGCAGTTCAGATAGCCTTACTAGTTCACTTTTCTCAGTATTCATCAGCTTCTCCAGCTGCCTGTTCTTCTTTAACACTACTTTGATAATGAATCAATTCCATACACATGATTTTATATGTTTTTCTAAAATGATGACCTGCTGTAGCACAAATAGTTCCTCAACCAGATCTGAATTATTTGTCACAACTTTCATCACCATCCCAGCCCCTCCAAATGAAGTCACTGAAGAAGTAAAGGATATCTTCACGTTATGGCATGTAAGTGGATACAGCAGCAACGGAGAGCAGGAAAAGGTTGTCTTTTGTTTGTTTGTTTGTTTGTTTTTTTTAACTTGACACATAAAAGCTTGCAAATAATTTTCCTAATATGGAAAGATGGCAAAAAATATAATCAGATGAGACAAAATTCTGGCATGACTGTCATTTATGCAGGGGAAGAAGAAGAGTAGGAAGCATTCCAGGACAATAAAACTTACCTGGTCTTCTTCAGAATATGATGAGTAGCATACAAAATAAGCAAAACTTTCTCAAAGAAAGGAATTTGAGATCAGTAGCATTATTGGATGTTTCAAGGCGTCTCCTGAATACATCCCTGCAGAGAGATAAGGCTGAAGGAAATGAGAACATGCAAACACATTGCAAAAACAACTGTGCAAGCAGAACGAAAGGGCTCCTAAACTCATAATACAAAAACTCATCACAAAAATGGAAACCGCTTGATTCTGTTGTTAGGAGAAGCCAACTTAGAAGATTTATAGTACCTCCCTGACTGTGAAACAGTGTTAGACTTTTAGATATTTATAACCTCTTGGAATGCCCCTATGCTTATAAACAAACAAAGCCAAGAAGCCCCAGATCTATGCAGGGAAGCAGAATGTGTATTTTAAGACAAAAATTTTCACCTGTTATAGGTCTTGAGAACCATCTCATTTGAATGACCAGTCTCAAACTAGCTAGAACAAACTCATATTAATCAACTAAGTTTTGCTAATTCTCTAGTTTGTAACCTGAATCTTGAAGAGCCAGGAGAGAGCTTTGAACCGCTTACTCATGTGCACACCAAACTCCTTGGATCAGTTGGGACAACAGACGAGCAGTAGCACTGGTGTTTACTGTGTGACCTTTTACAGCTGCCATTAAATGGCTCCTCCTCCTCCCTTGGGGCTAATGTGGACATTTGGCTTGGCTAGTGGAGCTGGCAGGCTGCTTGCAGGACTGGCCAGAGACTCAGAAATGCTTCTGGAACGGAGTCTGGCTTCACTCATCATTTGGGCAAGGCAGCAGTCTGCCACAAAATGAGAGAAAGAGAAGAGCAGTTAAAAAAAATACCACAGCTTTGGCTGTAGAGGCCAGTTGTCCTGGTGCACTCTGGTCGGAGAGATGCACTCATATTAGCCCATCAGAAGCCAGGCAGCTCTGCTATGCTGGTAAAGATGAAGACAAGCAAGGGTAATGAAATAACAGATGGGTTAAGGCATGCTGACCAAAAAGAACAGACCCAAAATAGTCACCAATGGCTCAGCATCTTCATTCTGCATCAATCCTTCCCACAGTGGAGTGAAAAAGTGCCTGGCGAAGAGCTCACTAAGGAATTTCCAACTTTTCCAGCCTAGGAGACACCATCAGCCTTGGGAGCATCTCTGGTGCAGCAGCTATCACAGAAGTCAGCTTCCAAAGAGCTCTTCTGGTGTTTCACAGGAGCACTTGTGTTCACGTGGTTACAGTGGTAAGGGTTCACAAAGCATTTCTAGCAGGACATGGATATTAGTTAGAAGCTGAAGATGCAACACACATTGATCTTGTTTTTATGTAAATTAAGATAAATCATACAGAAATACACTCCTTTGCATATGCTAATGGCTGCTAAAAGAAGGATCATCATCATCATCAGACAGTGGGAGAACAGAGCTAGACTCTAGCTTCAATGCCAGTTTGTTCCCCAAAACTCATAGTAAATAGTCCCTGAAACAGCAGCAATTGTCTCACATATTAATAAAACTGAAGGCGGCAATCTTGTGCTGGCTGAAAAACAAGCAGTTATTGTATGTGTTTGGAAGCAGATCTTGCGTGCTTACTCTTGGCAATAACATGATAATCTCCTAACATCCAGAAGACTTTAACTATTTACTATTAACAAGAAAAACTTCAACAGATATGAAACCCACTGTGCAAACGAATGTCACGGTCACCAGGTTCCTCTAATTGCACACTCGTATGGCCCTCACCTGCTCTGCTGTTAAGGGTCTTTGCAATTTTTGAAGCAGGTTATAATATATAAAGTGAGAAAAAACAAAGTCCAACCATTAGGAGAAAAGTCTGCTTACAAATTGCAGACTGCCATTCAATAATCTTTATTCTAAGGGTGAGGCACCAAAAAGCAAAACAAATCAACAGCTAATTGTGAAAGCATTTTCATGTTTGCAGACTCTCAGGAGCTTCAGTATAAGATTTCTTTTTCTTCCCTCACTCAGGACAAAGTCCAAGACTAAATTTTTCAAAACTCAGAAGGAGTTTTGTCTATTAGTGTTCCAAATTGCATTTACTTGACAAAGTTTCAAACAACTGAGTCTTAATTTTTTTTCCAGAGAAAAATCTCTGGGATTCAAGCTGATGGCTTTAGAAGTGTCACTTTAAATTTATCACCGGGAACAAAGACAATATTGCAACATCCTTATCTCCCCATGTGGTTCTCAATTACATGAGTCATCAGGATCCATACCAATGTTGCCTACTTGACATTTTTATCCAGAAAGATGTCCTGTCAGCTTTCAAGATGAATTGCTATAGCCTTCATGCCATGCACTGAAACAGTAACGCTACAGCCTTAAAAATGCCATGCACTGAGAACAGTAAAGCAACAAGGAACAATGCCTCAGGAAGCCATGGGAATAAAGGAGAAGGACACATAGCTTGGGTGAGGAGACCAAGTACCAGGGGTTTCTGTAGAGAAAAGGATGGGGCAGCTAGAAGCTGATAAACTTTTCTACGCAACGTCAACTCAGCCAGACAAGCTTCCTAGCAATGTGATGTGGATTTACTCAAAAATACATGTTCAGTCTTACTGCATTTTAGATTCAAGTTTTCTATGCGATTCCTCTTATACTGTTATCAAAACAAGGGGTGCTTTAAAATATGGATACATCTCCTCAGTTCATGTTGTATCATCTGTGAATGGCAAAATAGTGCAAAAAGCTAAATGCCTCACAACTTCCAACACATGGGCAGTTCAAATACATCATCACCCTGACACTCTACAGGCCAGGCTTCCAGCAATGATGCACAAAGCTCCACTTCCTCCAGAACATGATCAACCAGTTCTCTTGGTATACTTTCAAAATGAGAGGAAAATGGTTCAGCAAAAGATAGGGAGGATTTGAGCTGACACAATGAACTCTGAGATGGTTTGCAAGCAACCTAATTTAGACAAAAGGCTACATATGTCAGTACCTCTTGACATTAGCATCACATACACTGGAGAGATAGATGTAGCTGTGCGATTCAACTCACAAAGCTGCTTAAATAAATGGCCTATAATATTAAACCAAAAATCAGTGCTTTTGAGAACAGCATCTTATCTTCTTGTAATTCTTTCCAGGCAGAATATTTCTGGGTCTGTGTGCCATACCCATTAAAAATAATGGCCACATCAAGGTAGCTATAGTAACCAACATCTACAAGTGAGCAACAAAAGCATATTTAAGCTGTCCCTAATGCTGGTTTCTGAATTTACATTTTAAGGGCTGATTCCTTTCCTCATCGTCTGTGACTCATATATTCAAAGTTGTTTAAACAATGCAAGTAGTTTACTTAGCTTTCCCACACTATATAACTTACTTTGAGTTGCTTCCAGCTTCGACAGAGCCTTTGTTTTGAGACTGAAGATTTCCAGGTTCAGCCTTGGTAAAGGTGACCTTCAAACTCTGAGTGGAGAAGCACCAAAAGAGACCAAGGGAGGAGAAGTTATTGTAACGTAAATATCGACTCAGGTCTGGTTTGTTTTGTTTCAAGTAAATGATCTTTGTCAGGAAAGCAAGTTTAGTAAAACTAGATCTGCACAGCTGACTATGTAGAAGGCTATCTTTGAGGAGGACTTAAAAATCCTGTAAATAAGCAAACAAAAAGATGTGAACACATGGTATTTGCGAAGGCATGTGTGTATAAAAACTTTTATATTATTTCTGCATGTGCTAATGGAAAGATTACTTCTCATATGTACCCAGTTCTCACATTCAGCATTTTTACAGCGTCAAAAATTTGGAGAGAGTTCAAAGTGATCGCAAAGTATCCAAGGCCAAAAATAGGTCTAAGAAAAAGACTTCAGCCTTGTTAGCTTGTCCAAGAGAAGGCTGGGAACTTAATCTTGAGCTGAAAGTGTTTATATAACAGAAGTCTTAAAAGAGAACATTAGTTGTCTTTCTAAGAATAAAAAAAAATCTCTAATCACAACACACTGTGCTTAGTAATGCTCATGTTATCCCACGGAAAGATAACTAACTTTTCCGAGAGAGACCCTTGTTGAAATTCTGTTATACTAACTACACTATATAGGTCATTAGCCTACTGATTTTAATGTGAGTTTTCAAGGACCATCAGGGTACGTATCATCACAGATAGCATCAAGGGTACATGAGACAGAGAGACAGAGAAGTTACCTCAACAAGTGTTCCCACGGAAGGTGTAATTAAATCTGAACTAGTGATGAAATGCTCTGGTTTAGTCTCACAAACCACAAGCCAGTTGGCTTCTTTCATCTTCATTTTTTCAAAAAGGTATTTGTGCATTGCATCGCTGGCACCCTCTGCCTACAAAGACTACCTGGCTGCTTTGCTGTTGTATAACCCGGTGATACCTCACTATTTTCAGACTGGTACAAAGGTGGGTTCTGTCTCTTGATGGATCCAGGACTGCACATACCCAACAAGGGTGCTTGTTCTGTGCCATCCCTCTAACCTTTCTTCAAACTAGTCATTTATTGGGGAATTCCAATCCACAAGCTCCAGAAACTGTAAAAAATGAAGGAAGTTATGGTGTACAGCTAGGGAAACCACAGCATGCTTGGAAAAGACTTGATGGCACTACATAGCACCATGGTTTGAGAGAGGATTATGGTTCCGGCTGGGACAACAACAAAATAGACAGCTGTCTATCTGTCCTTGTTGTGAAGACTGGAAATCCTCCTGTCCAGTTCCAGACAGCACAAGGGTGGTAAGCATGGCACTGTCTTCAGCATGGACCATCTGTCAGCTCATCTTTTTTTCCATTTTCTAAGTTGCTATATTCTACAACACATACCGTGTTTTTGTTACTCAAGATATTCAGCCAGACAGCATCAGCTGTTATCAACACTTTTCATCAATATTTTTCTTTCTATTACAACCCTACTAAAATTGTTTTGTAATGTCTCAGGATAAACCTGTATATATCTTATCTACCAAAGAACATTGACCTTGCCTGTTGTTGATCACACAAATCAGTTTATAGAGAACTAGCATTGTCAAGACCCCAAATGGCCCAAACATATTAAAAAAAAAATTAATGGCATGTTAATGACCTAACAGTGAGTATGAAGTCTTTTTTCCATTGCCCTTCCAGCTATGCAGGACAGCAGGAAGGATCCTCACCAAGAGCACCAAGAGCACCTCTTGTTTTGTGCCACTGGGTCTGCTCCTCACCCCTTCACATTTTAGCTCCCCTGAAGCAGGAATCCAACAGAAGCCTGAAAAATTATCTCATGTAACTTGTAGTGGGGTGAACAATTGCTTCATTGAGATAACTCCTGTTTATACTCTGGAACCTGAATAAATTGGCAATCCCGACCACAGGATGAGAGGAGACTAACACACTGGGAGAACATCTGCTGTCCCAACGGCGACCTGGAAGGGAACGTGACCATGAGTACTTGCATTCAGTATGAGAAAAATGCTAACTGTCTGCTGGACACTTCAGGGGACTAATGAAGTTATGTGCCATCTGTTTTGGAAGCATTATGCATTCTTTTTTATCTGTTTGGAAATCCAGATGTTGTTAAACAGGGACCTGGCCATGTGGCTTCCAGTGAGTGAATAGTTGTTATTGCCTCTTGTCCTGAGAGATGGAATTTGGTAAAACTGTGAGCACCTGTACTTGTCCACAGCTGAGCTGGAGATGAGACGAATACTAGTAAGAGCTTTCAAGCCTGGCTTCTTCTATATATTAACCAACCAGGAAAGTCTCCTGCAGCTTGGCTACTTTGGGACTTACAGCCTCAGATCCAGGCAGGGCAAGGAGTGGATGGAAGACATAAACACAAGGTGGGCCCAAATCCCAAAGAAAACAGCTTGAAATATTTTCCCAAATTAAGGCAAACTGAAAAGAACTCTGATTATCTGGAAGTTTACCACGCTTTCAGGTACAGTGTGAGGAATTACGTTTATATTTGAATAAATGAATGGGAGGGGAGTACCGATGAGGGATACCCATCTGGCAAAGCTCATTAAATCCAATTTGTCCATTATGCAACCAACTTTATGTAAGAAGAAACATGGGTGGTTCCACAAAATTAAAGAGGCTGAATATGTCTGTGGGTTTGTAAAACCCTCAAACAAGGGTATAAAATTCATTAAAATGGTATCTGGTGGTGTCTGATAAATCAATAAAATTCAGTAAGGCAGCCTTCCCTACTAATGTACATATCTAGGGACATTTCTTCATTTTAAGTACAGGAGAATGTGGGAGTGAACAAACATGTATAAAATTTCAGATAAAATTTAGAGCTTTGGGAGCTGCACTGAAGAATTGATGAAAATAGTGTGCTAGGAATGTATTACTATATTAAAATATTTATGGTCTGGACCCATTTTGTTTTCTTAACCTTTGAAGCTAAACAGTTCAGGTGGCAAAAACTTGGTTGTCACAAGCCAGTGGCTGATGGGAACGTGTGAAATGTGTTTTGAGATTGACTCAAGCCAAGGAGCAAACCAACAAAAACTACATTCTAGGTTAAAAAAACAACAGGCAGTCACAATGAGGTGCTATTTTCAAGAGCATTCTGTGATTTAAAATCATATAAGAAATAACTTTTGAGAAGAATGCTCTAGTATTTAAATCTCTAATGTCATTTCAGTGTTAATTAAAATACATCAGCCTTTCACTGATAGGTATCTGAGTCTTTGCAAGAAAACAGAAGCAGGAGGGATTGACATTACCATCACATAAAGATGTGGCCTGTGCCCTGTATCCTCTCCTAGTGCTTACTGTAAGTTCACACCATCACAAGCGATTACAATTCACTGTTTAATAAATCAGCATGCTAAAGCTTGATTTTAACTTCTTCACATGATTTTAAAATACCATGCTTAGAGCTGGAGGTAATGTATCAAAAATGAACTGTCAGATAAATGTTGCAGTTGATCTACTCAGACAAATGCTTTTAATGTAATCAAATTCCCTGATGTAATAGTTTGCCTGAGCTCCAAAATGGCAGAAATTAATAACAGTCGATGAGACTACGATGTCCTATTCTTTAAAGACCTGACAAATAAAAGAACACGATACAGGTCTTAGAATTTCCCCTCCCTCCATAATCACTGTATTTTTCTGAACACTTGACTTTGTCTTTCTGATATTTCCATGAACTGGGTGTCAGGGATGAAAGTGTGGGTAGTATGAAGAGTTTCCCAGCAGGCAAAATGCATCTTGCAGCTATGAAAATGATGGGTTTTCCTGCCTAGTGAGTTCATATTTTAATGCATTTTCAAATCTCCTTAGGAAGCTTGCTACTGGTCCTTCAAACAGAAAAAAAAAAAAAAAAAGGAGACATTTAGCAGAAAACAGTCTATTTATAAGGCATTTTAGACATTTTTCCATTGTTTATGGTATCCACAGATGGGTTTAAAAATGTAATTTTCTTCCCTAACAATCTTAATTTTTCTCTTTGCTTTGATAATCCATAAGTAGCAGTGTGTTTACACAGCATTTTGTAGCCTCAAGCTAGGAGGATAAATTATCTTATTATTCAAAAAATTATGGACACAGAAGGAAACGGGAATTCAGTTGCTCCCAATGAATGAGGTTCCAACACTCTGCCTTATGGATCAGGATTAATTCCTAGTTCCTGCAAAATTAAGGTATCTTCCAGTCCAGTGATACCTATGGAAGACAGAACAACCAGGGAATGGTCTTGCACATTTATATTCTTCCCAGTCCCTCTTATGACTGCAAGATCAAAAGACTTAACACTCCCAAGTAATATTAAGACAGTAATGGTACTGTGTTATCCCACTGAGATGTTCCATCTTCTGGCTACTACTACTCAAATGGAGGTAGAGACATCCTGGAAAAGTTCGGTCTCAATAGATGTGACAGACCCTGGAGGATGACAAGTTTGATTTGATTTCCCCAAGAGCACTTAGCAGGCAGAGTGATGTGTTAATGGATGGGTATTAGATGTTTTTATAGTCAGGAAGGAATGAGGATATGGTGTTTCAGTGCTCTGCTAGGGAACACAAAAAAAGTCATCATTACAGTGGGGATGCTGGTAGGAAGGCCAAACCACTAGACCATGCCCTCTTTTCTGCTAAAACAAAATTAGCATTCCTTATTTTACTGTAAAGAAAGTTGGTAGCATTGTCAAACATGCAGCGTTTTCAACCTTGACTTTCCTGCTTTTTGAAATTTTGCAAAACTGACCCTTTTTCTCCCCACTGAAATAGCATGTGTTTCTTTATCCTTACTGTTGTTGAGTTTTAATGTTCATTTTCAGCTAAGAGTAATTTGGATCAAACGAAAATGTTAGGGAATATTGTAGTGTGCAATTTATATCAAAGCCACGGTATGTATTTCACAGTGGCACTCTGTTCTTTCTGGATGGTAGATCAAGGGATTGATGTTTGATAGCGGAATGGTCTTGATGTCAAAAAAAAGCTTTTAGTGTTCTTGCAAACATCTACCTGAAGATGGCTGAGTTACAAACCTCTGAAAACTGTAGTTCATGTATGTTTTGTAGCTTTGCAGAGACTTTGTAGAGTTTAATAGCTATATTTTCAGAAGATTCTGTTCATTCCAAGTACTTTCTTTTTTTTTTCTTTTTTTTTTTTTTTTCTTCTTGGCTACAGGGGCTGAACTGATTTTCCCTGAATTGCTTCTTTTGTCTATTTAGTCTTTGGTGGCAAAGGGGGCTTTGAGTACAGAGAATGTCTCTTCTGTCCTCTCAACTGGTCATTGCCTGACCATCAACAGAGACAGGCAATGAAGGAGAAAATGTAGTGAGGTGGGGGGTGCCATGGCTAGAGAAGGGCCATGCTGACAGATGCCAGGAACAGGCATGGGTATGTATCCCAAAGGCAGCTCTGTAGGTCAGACCCCTTGAAGCTCCTCACTACCCACTGTATGCTCTGAGTCATGTGATGGGGAAGCAGCTCCACCTCAACTCAGTTCCTTGAGGGAGCAGAGACAAGTTTCTGAGGCGCTTTAGGGGAAGGAACAAGCAGCTGGGGGAGATGAGGCAATCTCCAGATCCCAAAATTACATGGTAATGTTGCCATCCTCCCACTGGGCATCCAGGTTTAACTCTTCCAGCGTAACAACAAATCAAACTGCAGCTTGCTTGTCAAGACAAACTATTTGTTTAGCAGGAGAAACATGAGCTCTGCTCATCAAAAATCTGTCATCTGAAAGACTTCTCAATCGACTGTCACAGAATCATAGAATGGTTTGGGTTGGAAGGGACCTTTAACGACCAGCTAGTCCAACATCACTGCAATAAACAGGGACATCTTCAACTAGATTGGGTTGCTCAGAGCCCCGTCCAACCTGACGAATGTTTTCTTGAATGTCCCCTCCATTAGATGTTTGATCTGACCTTGGATGATTGGGAATCATGTATTTCCCGTGACGAGGTTTTCTTCTTGAAGTGGTCCAAGTGGATTCAAGTCTGCTAGGACTTTTTTCCAGTTATTTAAACAACCCTCCCCACTGCTTGGTGAGGCAAGACAGTATCCCTTTTGTTTTCTTTCCAGTTATTTTCTACATCTAACCTGTCTAGTTTGGGTTGTTATGGCTAGAAATGGCTAAAACAGGTCTAGCAATCTACAGCAATCAAACTGTAGAGCAGAAGGAAATCATTAGTTCCCCCTTTTATATATGACCATACAAAAATGCTACCTACACGTCATCACCCAAACCACACATCAATTTTTCTGCAAGTCTTAAAGCATGAGTTCAATGGCTGAGAAAGCATACAGCAGGTTAAAAGCATACAGCAAACAAACCATTATAGGTTTTACAGGAAAAAAAGAAAGATCTGAAAGAAGATGGAGATTCTTAGAGTGCTTTTTTGTTTTTGAAAAGCAAAGCAAAGTTCGTGAAAATTATGCTTAAAGAACATCAGTCTTACAAAGGTCAGCTCTTATAATGAGGGATACACTTGAATTAAGGTTGCTCTCTATAGACAACTTGTATGAAGAAAACAAGGGTTTTACAAATGATAAAACAGCAACACAATTTAGTATTAATAAAACAATAAGATCATAGCAAGACTGATTGGCAGACTGTGCTATGAAAAAAAGACATTGTGATCATAAATGATAGTTAGAGACTAACTGGGAAGAAAATTTCAGCCCTATTGGCACTGGACAAAAGAAGTTATCCAAACTTCTGTTGAAAACAATTCTTGGAATTCTGCTGGAAAGTCAGGAAGTATATTTGTTAAACAACCTCACTGTGGTCACAACACCCTTCATGGTGAGATACCCATGACCACCCCCAACACACGCACTACTTTCTGGGATGGCATTTTATCAGGCTTGGAAGATAGTTCTACTGGGAATGTTTTACAGTTAGTGTAAACAGCCCCAGCTCATGCATGTGAAGGATTTGCATAGCTATGCATGTTGGTGAAGAACAGGACCCAGACATTATGTGAATGGATCTGGGTAAACAAGTCCTGCTCTTTACAGGGACATCAGCATGTTGGAGACCTAAATATTGCTGGAATTTTTTGGTGGCAGAGCATCCATCAGTGGACCCTGTAGTGCAAGGATGAAGGTGGCACTGAGCCTGAGGCTATTTGGCCTGGTTCAGCCAGGATAAAGTTTTCCCTAGCAGAGAGAGAGAGGGGGAAGGGATCTCCAGCCGGGTTATTCATACCATGCTGATGTCAGGTCCGGTGGGCAGAACCTTTTTACTTTCGCTTCTGGTGTTGGTTTTTGCCCTACACGTGGCGGGTTTGCTCCTTGATCATTTAGTGGTATTTCTCTGTATATCTTTTGTCTTGTTCACTGTTATTGCTGTTTATTGTTGTTACCATTGATACTGTTGTTATTCAGATTGTTCTATCACTCTGTTGTATTAAATTTCTTGTTATTTTAGCCGGGGTCTGTGTTTAACTTCCGACCCGACCAGCGCGGGTGGGGGAGGGGCAACGGCAACGTGTTCTTTCATCCCGGCAAGGGTTAAACCTTGCACATTAAAAATTGGCGCCCAACGTGGGGCAGACCCTGACCAGAGTGTGGTAGAGCACTGTTGGGTGTAATCTTTCTGTTTGTATTTGTATTTGTTTGATAAGAAAATGTTTGCAATGTTGGCCCATTTGCTTGCATGGGGGGGCTGGATTAACCCTTATATCCAGTGTGTGATCCCTGTGGTGGTGTTTGTTATCGGTGGAAAATGTGCAAAGGGTCTTATGTTGTTATACTGGCTATTGAATGCTTATAATGCCTTTGTATCGCTGTGTGTGTGTGTGGGCTGGTACCTGTTTGCTGTTTGGTTTTTTGTTAGGGGTCTCACCCCCTCTGTGGGTGAGCCAGGGGAAGAGATCCTCTTGGCTTTGGGGAGTTTTAACTATTCATGGAGCCCGCAGACCAGTGTGATTGTGGCACAATGCCTTCTGAATATCTGCCTGATTTCGGTTTTGGCCATATGGTATTTCTCTGACAACAGCAGTGCCCGGAAACCTGCCCCGAGGCCAGATAATAGTGAGTGGCAAGGGGTGTGGGAAAAGATGGGCAAAGGCCTGAGTTGGTGGGCACCCCCAGTGCTTTGGAATTTCACTCCTGAGCAAATGCAGTGCCCTGAGAAGCTGATGGAGTGCTTAGAAAGGGTGTGTTACCAATCTGGCAAAACCCAGGAGACACAAATCACTGCAATGTGTTGGGGACTTGCCCATGCCTACCGTGTCCTCTTTAATACCACCCGCTGCCCTCAAAGGGAAGAAAAGGCCACACAAACAATATCTGAACCGGGGGCACAGGCAGAGCCAGTCTCAGTCGCCTCCACCAGCACACAGACTGAGCCAGAGAGCCAGGCAGTGCCAGTGTCAGTCGCCCCAATACAGAAAACCAAATATACCAGAAAGTCTGTTTGCAGAGTGAGGGATGAGGATGAGCCAGGCCCATCAGGGGAACAGGAAGAAGGACCAGACGTAATTGTCCGATCTCTGTCCCTGACTGAGTTGCGAGATATGCGGACAGATTTTGGCTGCCTGGGAGGTGAGCAGATTTGCACCTGGCTGCTCCGATGCTGGGACAATGGAGCCAGTGCTTTTGAAATGGAGGGGAGAGAGGCCAAGCAGCTGGGATCTTTGGCCAAGGATGCTGGCATTGACAGGGAAATAGGGAAACAGACTCAAACCCTCAGCCTTTGGAAGCGACTCCTGTTCAGTGTCAGGGAGAGGGACCCCTACAAGGATGATATCCTATGTCAGCTGAGCAAATGGACCAACATTGAGAAGAGCATCCAGAACCTCAGGGAACTGGCTGTGTTTGAGATAATCTATGGTGATCTGAATAATGAGCAGTCACCCATGGACCCAGATCAGGCCCCTTGAACACACCTGATGTGGTGAAAGTTCCTGAAGAGCGCACCAGAAGCACACTCAAAAGCATTGGCAGTAGTGTCCTGGTGGACAGACACCCACACTCTAACAGTGGATGGAGTGGTTGGCAAGCTCCGGCAATATGAGGGAAATCTCTCTTCATCTCAACATTCCTGGGTCTCAGCTGTGGAGGAACTGTCTCAGAGGCTCCAGAAGATGGAAGAGGACATGTCCCACGTTCCACTTGCACAGGCTAATGTCTCAGCCATTAGAAGTAAATGTTTCCCCACCCAAGAAAAAGGCAGCAGAAGATACACACCACGAGGCACCCTGTGGTTTTTCCTCTGTGACCATGGAGAGAACATGAGGAGGTGGGATGGACAGCCCACTGCTGCCCTAGCTGCATGAGTAGAGCAGCTGAAAGGGAAGGCCATCACAAAAGGGGAGTCCTCCAAGAAGAGTGCAGCTCCAGTGTCCAGTCAGAAATCCCCCAGGCAGAATAGAATGGTGAACGTTATGTCTGACCCTCTTGAAGGGACCAGTAAATCATTCTTTCAAGAAGTGAGTGATGATGAGCAGGATTAGAGGGGCCCTGCCTCCAGCCAGGTGGAGGAAAGGGATAATCGGATTTACTGGACAGTGTGGATCCGATGGCCTGGCACGTCAGACCCACAAGAGTACAAGGCTTTGGTGGACACCGGTGCACAGTGCACCCTGATGCCATTGAGCTACAGTGGGGTTGAATCCATCTGCATCTCCGGAGTGACAGGGGGATCCCAACAGCTGACCCTACTGGAAGCTGAAGTGAGCCTGACTGGGAAGGACTGGTATAAGCACCCCATTGTGACTGGCCCAAATGCCCCGTGCATCCTGGGCATAGACTATCTCAGGAGAGGGTACTTCAAAGACCCAAAAGGGTACCAGTGGGCTTTTGGTGTAGCTGCCCTGGAGGAGGTTCAACAGTTGTCCACCTTACCCGGCCTCTCAGGGGATCTCTCAGTGGTGGGGCAGCTTAAGGTTGAGGAGCAGCGAGTGCCGATTGCTACCAGGACGGTGCACCAGCGGCAGTTCCGCACTAACCGAGATTCCCTGGTCCCCATCCATCAGCTGATTCGTCAACTAGAAAGCCAGGTGATCAGCAAAACTCACTCCCCCTTCAACAGTCCTATATGGCCAGTGAGGAAGCCCAATGGTGAATGGAGGCTAACTGTGGACTGCCGTGGCCTGAATGAAGTCACGCCAGCAATGAGTGCTGCAGTGCTGGACATGCTAGAGCTCCAGTATGAACTGGAGTTGAAGGCAGCCAAGTGGTACGCCACGACTGACATTGCTAACGCGTTCTTCTCCATTCCGATAGCGCCGGAGTGCAGGCCACAGTTTGCGTTCACTTGGAGAGGCATCCAGTACACCTGGAATCGATTGCCCCAGGGGTGGAACCACAGCTCCACCATTTGCCATGGACTGGTCCATACTGCACTGGAGAAAGGTGGGGCTCCAGAACACCTGCAGTATATTGATGACATCATTGTATGGGGG